AATAATAATAATAATAATGATTATAATGCTGTTGCGCGTTTCAAACCATCATACACAAAGCAAAAACACGATTTCGTATGTTATAAAATATCCACCTTTTTATCAACCTTTCTCGAGTTTCAAAATGAGAAAACCGCATGAGTAAACAAGTTATACATCGTTGTTGAATGTGCTTAAAAACAGAGCGCCTTCAAGCGTTTTTGGTGTGCAGAATGTGCGTCATCAATGAATTAATTAACAAAAACTTTACTCCTCATTCCAAATTGTTCGTTTTTTCCCTTCTGTAGCCAAAGATTATTTGGACCGACTAAATAGTAGCTAGCAATCATTTGATATTAACACTGCCTATTTTGCTGCCTTCAAGAAAATTAAGAAAGGCGGGTACGCTTAAACAACGTTTTGCACATGTCACTTCGAGAAATCCCATGCCCCCCTACCCCAAAACAAAACAAAACAAAAACAAACAGAAACAAACCAAAAACGCTACGCTGTAAAAAAAAACCCCATAAAATTGTGCATTTATTAAAGATACTTGGATTTATGGTGTAATATCACTAACAATATCAAGATTTTCCACCTTGAGACATGCATATCCCGTGCATTTCAAAATCAAAGTATGGTTTAGTTTAGTAGAGGTTTTACGGCGCTTGCAACAGCATAAGATCATATGAGCGGCAGAAGATTATAGGTGTCACAAGAGAGTAACAAACATAAAAAAGAAGAAGGGGAGATAAGGACGACAGATATTTGACAGGAAAGAAGGAGCAAACCACACCAGAGCACCCGCCAACCACCTACAAAATCAAAGTATGAAGAAAAAATGATGCTCACAAGATTCATAAGACCCAAGAGAAGGAAATATTTTAATGGATAAAGGGGGTGTACATATGGTCAGAATACACAGAAGAACGTTTCAAAAATAAAACAGGAGAAGAAGTGGTAATAAACAAAGGATGAAACGGACCACCAATGCTGAAAGAAAAAGTGCAAGCTGCCATTGAGAAAAAAGCAATCATAAACAACTACAATGCCAAGCAATGTCCAATTTGAAGTGATTGTCACACAAGAAGAATTAGGCACTGGAATAACAAGAAAGCTTTTTAATTTTGTCTACAACATTGGTGAGATTCTAGAAGATTTCGTTTGGTTTAGTCAGCTTTTATAGCTTTACATAACGCATTAAATGACCATTATTGTGTCGATGTGCTTCTCTCTACTCAAACATTTCACCACAATAGTAGCTGGAAGTAATTGAAGGTCCTTTTCTGAATCTGCAATTAAAATACGGATCTTTTTTATTGTTAGGGTGAAAATAATATCATTTCTGGCACTATAGCCAAGCACAAAGCCAAAATATGTTTTTAGATATCTCTGGACTTTTTCTCATTGTTTCCACCAGAGCCCGCATCAAAATCTTTGAGATATTCCACGGTAACTGACAGGACATTTGGATTATACCTTCTTACAATAATAACACTGCAATTCAATATCAATTAATTAATTTCATCTTTAAATGACCAGAATATTTGAAAGACATATTAAGAATCACATTGAATGCAGCAATAAAAAAAAGGAAATTCAGTGACATGTTCCGGTAACTGACGGGACAAAAGAGGTATTTTTTGTCCCGTAAGTTTCCGTTGATTAACCCCTTTGTAAGATAACTCACAAGCTTCTTGTTCTGGGCTTTTCAATCAGTGACACGAGGCGTACTAGGCGTACCAAAGACATTGAAGGAAAAGAAATTGAAGAAACAGAAATATTTTTTATAGTGACTGTTGATGATTTCAAGGAAGGAAAAGAAATCAAATAAAGTAGTGCAGGAGCCTACGTGGATTTGGAAGAGGCAACATTATATTATGCAGTTTCCAGAACACTTGAAAGGACACTGAAGCTTTGGTAATCTTTCTCTCATTCGTAAAATTGAAGGTAAAAGGGAATAGGAGGGAAACAGAGAGAGAGAGAAAGAGAAAGGATTAGAGGGGACAGACAAAAAGAGAGGGGGTGAAAGGGAGAGA